AATGCATCTTCTATATGCCCCGTAGAATTTTCAAGAGCTGTAAAAATTCAGAAGGATGCCACACTGATGACTTCTATGTACGGGGTAGGATACTTGACGGTGAACTCACACAAATGACACAGGCTTTGGAGAGCACATGTAACGTTTATTTTGTCATGAAAGCTAGGCTTGAGCTACACACCGCAAGTGCCATCTCCCAGGCGTATAATCCACTCTGTATAACGCCCAATTAGCATCTCTTAGGCATGTAATATAAATCGCAAGCCGTCCAATCTACCGGGTCAGCCATGAGTCCCTGACCTCTCTTAAAGCTGATATCGCAGCGGCATGATCGAAGATCACAGATAAAGAGCTCCTTCCGAGCGTTCTGAATACCCTTGAAGAACCGATCCAGGGTATTGACGGCTTTGATGTAATATTTCACAAAGTTCAGATAGTGAAATTGCTCGAAAGCATCTTCGACCTTGAGGTATGACTATCTATTCAGCATAACCTTGTACGTATTCTCGCAGACATTTTGGTTGTCGTAGACTGCAATCTCGGTGTAATCAAGTTGTCTCTTACACACGGTGACATATCAATCAAGATGGTAACGTGCCTCTGCAGCCTTGGAGATCACGCCACCAATAAGGGTTCTATATTCGATACCTTCGGCTCCTTGGGTCATCGCTGGGTCAAAAAGGCCACCACTAGATTTCTCACCCTTGAGGAAGTCGTGAAATACAACAGAAGGGTCCAGTTTGTTTATATATTGCTCTTCCAAGGTAAATCAGAATAACGTTTCTTTCTGCCTTGAGAGCGGATGTGTAGTAGTCATGCATGGCTTGCATAGCACGAACAAGTCTTCCTTCCACTGGATCTGTGACCTTAACTGCCATTTCGTTTCGAACTCGTTGGTCTCCTCGAAAGACTAAGCATAGTGTAGCAGCTTCTCATAGATCTTCCATCCATATTCGCTTGGCTGGTTACTTTGTACAACAGCTTTCATAGGTATTTGAGCTCGTCCGACGGGAAGTCCTGTTAGAGTTGATGGCCATATCGAGGTAATCATAATTTAGTAGGCAAGTCACAACGGTGAGCATTTTTCGATTCGAAGTACTAGGTGTTACGCAAGAAGTTGACGGGAGAGACTGCAATATGGACTGGTTGGTAATAGGTGTTTGCTACTGAAAGCTCGAGCTCTTTGAGAATGGCTAGTCATCGCACTTTTACAATGAGACAGCGTGTGCGTGTAACAATCGACAGAATCTCGTGAGAATATCTAGAGGCGAGTCAAAGTATTCGGTCGTAGGCAAGTCAAAGTGCTTGGCTCTTTCACCAACTCTACTGACCAAGATGGATGTTCCGCTTTTGAACCTTCAGAAGGGAGACCAATTGGTAATCTTCTGCTGTGAAGTGGCAATATGGGTTCCGCAGGATAAGAAAGACTGGGAAAAGTCCGTCGCCCTATTTCTTGGTAAGCCTCCACCACGGATTGTTCCGGGCACCTCACCATCTTACTTCCGACATGTAACACAAAAAACTATGAAGACATTTTCTTCATAGAGCACTCTGCTGGCTTCCTGTTCGGAGTGTCATGGGGGTTGTGTTCGACTGCTTCAGATTCGTTGTTTCGGTTGTCATCTATACCTTGGCTGGTAATGATGGGACTTGCACAGGAATTGTACAGATCAATCGAGGATTTTGTGCGAGATACATCATCCTAGATCACAGATGTAGGTGCTATATTAGGAGCGTTTGATTCGTTGTCCATACGCAAGGTTCAAGCGATCGTCAATTAGGGAGAAGTTGGAATATCCGTCAATTGTCAGACAATTACAATACATGGCTAAAACAGCACATGCGCCAACACTTACCTTGCAATACCTGAGGTGTTTGTTGAGACTTTAAGAGAAGCTGCAGTGGAGCTTCTGAGTTCAATGCTTGGATGCTTGCTGTGTCGTGCTGAGAAGCTGGAGTGGACACATCGAGGATTCAACTTATCGAATGTCGATAGCGATCTCATCAGAGACATCGCCTCATTTTAATGTTGCCGAGTAGCGATGGTTTCTAAGAACTGCGTCACCATAAAAGGTCGTTTGTCATAGTCGTACCGTTTTGTAGGAACGAACAATCCGAACAATATCTTCTGGTCCAAGATGGATGTACTGCCGCGGATTGGAAGCAGCGGCAAGAATCTGGAGGAACTTTCGGTCCAGATATCTCAAGATTTTTGCTCTTTCCTCTTTAAATCTAGTAGTATCTGGAATCTAGTAGTATCTGGGAGAAACTGCAGCTCGCAAACACGCAAGAGTGATATTTCGATGGAATGACGACCCTCGTACGGGATTTTAGCCCCCTGGAACGGCTTATATCGTTCGAACAGCTTTCTATAAGTAAGTAGAGACAGAAACAGTTTCCAACCGAGCTCTGCCGGACCTTTGCTGGTGATAACCGACTGCATCGTCTGATAGCTCGGCAACTATAAGTAGTCAACAGCAAGCTTATATTTGTACTTGCGATAGTGTGGTAAGCATCCACATGGTGCATCTTCCTCGGGTTGATCAGGTAAAGTGAAATTCGTTATACCACGGATGAATTTGGGAGGTGACAGAGTTTGTTCGAGTTCTATATCTCTTTTATCGTTAAACTTCTCATTCTCATCATCGTCACTGTCGCGTAGGATTCGTGGCTTCACCTCAACAAGAAGCGCTTGTAGATTACTACGATCAGTAAGAGCTCGGCAGAGCGTCCAGATACTGGAGGGGTGTAGCACGGCGGTTGAAGTTGATATAGTGGAATGGGTTTGGGGGGGGGGGGGGTTGGACGCGAAATCTACGCCGACGGTGTAATGCGAGGCGGGACGAAGAAGTCTTGATGGCATCTCTGGGCCGTTTCTGCCTTCTTTGGGGAGCGTGAAGTCGTGACTTCATGACCCTGCTCGAGCAGAGTGGCCAGGACATAGCCCATTCCGTTTTTACACGTTATCAACAACAGTCCTGTCTACTTGATATGAGGTTCTGTTGAAGTGTTCACAAGGGTAGTTGGCTTATCGACATTGTAACTGACGATACCCCGAAGTCCACTTTTTAGTATTTTGAAGATTAACACGACCGGATTTATATAGGCAACGACAGCGAGAGTAGTTTTGGCAAGCATACGTGGCTGGAGCGGAATATGCTGTTGGTTTGGCCGTTCAGTAAGCCTGTGGTTGACAGCTGTGCTTCGCAATTGGGCAGCCGTGATATCGGTAAATGTGATTGGCAAAACATTGCTGCTTTACAACTCGTAACGAAGACGCCTGGCACAACTTCGCGTGGCGCTTGAATCTCCAAGTATGTTGAAACCATTTCACAGGAAGCACTTGCCCGATCACATTCAACATGCACAAATGAAAGAAGGTTGGACCTTGACATGCAACATCAGAAAACCAGGAGCTGCCAGTTTTTACCGTTACGGAAGACGGCTGGCTTTGCGTTCTCTGAGTAGAAGTTTTAGGATGATATTAACCAGAAAGGAACGGAACGGATTCCAGAACAATCGACAGAGCAGCAGCTTGTATACAAGCATTACTCGCGACTATATTGTAGATATGCTGAAGTCTCGACGCTAGCAGACTTCCTTGTGATACAATATCAGATTCAAAATATGTTACATATATCCGTACAACAAGTTGAGCGCCTTTGGGGGTACTCGACCGTAATGCCTGGAAGGTTTAATCAGCTCCTCCATTATGGCTCCGACCCTGAATGATGTACATTTTACAACATGGCCAATATCACGCCATACCTGATCTTGCTTTCCCTCGGTCGCGGTGACTTTCGCTTCAGTTCTTGCCATTCTTTCCTGAGCCACCTTTTCTCTGTTGAACAACTTCCTCGTGCTCCTCCTTGTTGTCCTTCCCCCAATTCCAGACTTCCCATATCTGGTCCATTATCAAGTCACCGTAGCCCCTCCCATCTTCCAGATACTCCTTCTCTCTCTGATCCCTCTTCTGTTTCCAGTCCTTGCCCTCCCCGCCGAACCATATCTTGTCTACCAGCCTCTGTTTCTCCCTGTCCTGATCCGTCTCCGCTCTTTTCTTCTCCACCTCCTCTAATACTTTACTCCCCCTTTCCTGTGGTATCCCCCCCCCCTCCTCTTTCTGAGCCATAACTACATACTTCGCTCCACTCAAGCTCTCCTCGAAATGCCGAGCCTTCTCTTCCTTCAATCGTTTCTGCACAAGCCGCGCTTTCTCTGGCAGTTCCCCGCCAGACATTTTCTTGGCTCGATCTTTGACGCGCCATATTATCGAGCGACCGGTATATTCATGGCAGACTTGGTTTCCGCCCGCGAATGTACCGCCCACCAGGGCTATGGTGTAGAAGTCGAGCTTGCGGGGTGGGAGAGCGATGATGATGGGACCGACTATGAGGGCGCCGATGGATATGCCGGTGAGGAGGTTGCGCTGTGTTTCAATTGGGATGTTGCTGGTGGGCGCCTGAGAGGGGGTACTTGTCGCCATCTTGATTACGAGTTTCGGAGACCTTGGTAAGGGTGCAGAGATTACGCATAGAGAAGATACTCGCAATTACGCTGTTTGCCGGGGTCGAACCGACATTTCTTGGCAACATGCTATGTTTGGAGGGAGGGTAAGTTAGCATTTTGGATCTCTCAATTCTTATTGTACCTGTTCTTAGGTATGTCTAATGTCAAGGTAAATCGTTACGGCCTGTTATCAGTTTGGGCCATTATTTGCTTCCCCGACTTGAGGTGGGGGGGGGGGTATTGTAAGAATGACCAGAATGACCAGTCGACGATTAGGTTGCTGTATGTATATGGAGTCAAGTGTAGCACAACAAAATTGAACAAAACGAAGAAGCCATAAGTCGAGTTATAGCTCTCTCAGGTTTTCATAGATGCGGCTTGTAGAATGAATAACAGGTAAACATTGACGGCCCTGAATGATACCTAGAGTTAGGGACCCCCAAAAAAAGATTATATATAAAAAAAGGGGCGGCTGTAATTATAAATTCCAAGGTGTTGTGCCAGAGTGGTTAATGGGTATGACTCGAATGCCTTCAAAGGATTAAGATATCATATGGTTTCGGCCGCGTAGGTTCAAATCCTGCCAACATCGATTGACGCATTGCGTTTGACACTTACATTTTTTTCTTTTTGGAAGCTTCAAACTGCTTGAGCCAGCGAAAAATCAAAGCAAAAGAGACGGAATCACCGAAAATGGTATAATGTTGTCTGGGCCGCATTATTTTTGCAACACTGCCTAGCTTGGAAACTCTAAATTTTTGCTCGTTAGCTGTGTGTAATGTCTACTACTTGGAAGCAATCAAAGCCAAAATGTGGTGCCAGAATATCCGTTGTCTCTTACCCTACTTCGCCTTCCCCCCCCCCTTTTTTTTCGAAGAATAAGTTATCATCTATAGAATTCCACGGGGCAAGGTAACGCCGGGCCCTTCCAAATTTGTCTTATACTTCTTTACTCCCTAGCGACTTTCACGTTAGTCGTCAGTCGAAGTTCTTCATATCTGCTGGGAAGAATTCCGTACATGTAAGCAAGTGTACCGACACGAACAGGCCCCAAAAATACTAAAACCTCAGAATGGTGACTTTTCCTTACATGTAATCAATACACGTCAGCTTAGCTATGGCACATTATACTACTACTACTACTACTACTACTACTACTACTACTACTACTACTACTACTACTACTACTACTACTACTACTACTACTACTACTACTACT